CAGCACAAAGAGTGTCCTTCCTAGCCTTCACATGGGACTTGGCTGTAGCAGTGGGGCCAAACATCCCTCAGTACTGAGAAACATGTTAAATAATGCTTGCTGGAAGCTCGGCTGTGTCCACAGTGTTTTCCATAAAGCTTGCCCCGTGAAAGGCAGAGTGGGAAGGGTCCAGAGTGCAATATGGCAAAGGTTAGCTCAGGTATCAATGGATGCTTCCCAAACAGGAGGGCAGTCAGTCAGCCTTGACCCTTGACATCAGCAATCTGCTTCAAAGGCAGTGCTGGAAGCCTGTGACTCTACCAGGGAGCACAGGCAGAGGTTTATGTAATACATGTAAAAATGCATTTGGTCTGTCTTCAGAATTACGGTAATTTTTAACAAGGTAAATTGTGGGATCATGCAAGGGAATGTCTAGGTGGAAGGGAGTGAGTAGATGAATCTGCTCCTTAGCAAAATCAGTGTAAACAGTACCCAGACATGGAGATTCAAATAGCATAGTACTTTCTCCAAGTACAACACACATAAAAGGAAACCGGGAATCAAATCCTAGAGAGGCAACAAGTCCTGCAGTTGTGGAACTACTTCAGAAGTCATTAAAGGGATTATATGTGTTCCTCCATGAAGCACTACTGAAAAACCTACTAATATACAATATATTGTTGTATTACAGCAGTTAATTATTACCTATTACCTAACTACTACTACAGTAATGCTACAGCACTACTATAGAAATTTTTGTACAAAGATTAATTGAGGTGCTACACAGCACTCTTGAGGTAGATATGCTACACTATGTGATTACAGGGGAGATTCCACTAATGTAAAAAACCTCTTCATCTTGAATATGGCCTTACATTTGTGTCTGGAGAAGTGTTAGGCTGACAAAGCCATTCATCAGACACACAATGAACAAAATCCATACATAAAAATCTCAGGACTACTAAGTTTTCTGAACAGTTAACCAGTTCAGAGAGAAGAAATCCTCCTTATTATATGGAAATTCATCTACTGATAAAAATCACTGTCTGTATGTCATTTCAATTTTACATATTTTTGCTTCCTTTTGGAAGGCATTGGCTGAATGTTCCTTGTGGAAGATCAATTTCTATTTATCCATAGACTGTGCATAAACTGGATTCTTATGGAGTAGGAAATGCTTCAAAATATTTCTTTGATAACTTAAAGTTGAATTAGAAAGAACCTCTGACAAAAATGGATAGTCATTTCTGTTTTCTTTTCCTTTAAGATTATATTTCAGCAAGGTGATGACTGAGATCCTTTGGGACCTTCCCAGCAGTTACACTGGCACAGTGAGGAGAAGAGGGAACCAGGGTGCAAGGATATGAAGAGTCACTGAGGGCACAGGAGGGAGAGAAGTCCTTCCCAAGCCAGGTCCTTTGCCAGAGCCAGATGTGTGTATCATGTAAGTAGTTTGCCCCATTTCTGTCTTATCACTTTATTTAGTAGCTGTTGTTTCTCCTGAACCTTTTAATGAGCCAGAGCTATCAATGTAGTTCAGTTCTTACGTTCTTACCTAACTGTAAAATTGATAATCATTTGTTTCCTCTGGCACCAAAGATGTTCATTAAATGGGATCATCACATTTCACTCCTTTTGCATCATAATCCTCAAACTCGTGATGTGTTTGTTTTTTTATTAACTGTGCTATAAAGCAATTAACTATTATGAGTGTGTTATCTATATGACACTGTCTAATCTTTAAACAAAAATTAAACAGAAAGTAGGCTTGCTGCCAAAAATAAGGAACTGTTCCTTCAAACAAAACCAGGGTAAAAGAAGCAAAGCTGCCACTCCAAGATAATTTTTATTTATTGTGTGATGTACTTTCCTGCGAATGGCAACATATTTGCCTTCAGATGGCAAATCCAGACGAATAAGAAGAGAATTAAAATATAGGTGGACCAGAATTTTAATTCAGCATCTGCCAGCATTGTGTATGACAGCACCCAATGATTTCCAGCAGATTAATTCAGTTCTCTGTATTTTACAAAGTTGGACAACTAATTCTTTTCCCAACATTACAGCCATGTGAAATAATGCTTTGGGCATATCCATCCTGAAGGCCAATGACCTGATCTACCAGGTCTAACACAGTGAGAGATCACCTTTACCTTGTTTTCTCCTGCCACCAGGCTACATCCCATGTTATTGTGGTGTAATGGGTTCCTTCCCATTCCTAGTTTATATTCTTCTTGATATGTGCTATCTCAGGAGTACAGATACCATCAGACCATGGCCATCAGACCATCAACGTTTTGCTTTGGAAAACAATCCCATCAATGGAGTTTTTCAAGTGAGATCTCTGTTTTTAATCAGATTTAACTATAGTTTTGTAAAAAAGAAACAGCAGGGAAATCCTATCTGCTTTCAAGTGTTTCGGGAAGATAATGGGACAGATGCAAGTACTGAAGTTTCTCAGATTTATGTAACTACACACTTTATATACAAACCAAAAGTTGAACATGACTAAAATGTATGCACAATAGATATGTTGTAATTGTATGAAGGTTACCAGGCAAATTTATTTAGACTGTGCCCCTTAACATTAGGGTTTGTTTTTCTGGAAAACTGCACTTCATCCAAAGATGCCAACGCTGCCAAACTACAGCTGAACTTTGAAACTGTGACCTGATGCCAGGAGACTTTCCGTGTGACCCTGGGGAGACCTTTTCACCTCTCTGTGCCTCAATCCTCCATCATGTGGAACAATAAGTAACTAAATAATTAAGAGCAGGAAGAGGGAATGATCTTTCTTCCACCCACCGTCCTGCTCCTGCCTTGTCTATTTAGATTAAAAGGACTTCACTGAGAGGAGATTAAATACCCAGTGCTTTTAACACTGGATGTAAAATGAAGTCTGATCTAAGTGAGGGCCTAGGAGAGCTGCTGTAACATGTGGCAAATGGTCCAGTCTGCCTTTAAAAGCTTTGAGATTTTGCAAATAGGAACGTGGCATTTTCCTCTCTATTTAATTACAAATGCTACTATGATAATTGATTGTTGAATGCTCATAAGAAGAGATGCTCTTCATGTCCAAAGAAGACACAATGCAGCGGGGAACTTTCCAGGATGAGAACCTACGCTCCTGCCTCAAGGATGAAAAATCCCTGCTCTGATCCTTCTCTAATCTCTCCAGAACCTTTTCATCTCCCTTCCTCCTTCTTTTCTCAAAGTTCATCTGTCCATGCTCCCATTGTGATTATACAGGATAGATTTTCTCTACCCTTACATTTTGCTGTGTAATTATTATTTACCTCCAGCTCCCATTTCAGCTGTAACTCAAAGTGTTGAATTGATTTTCTTACAGCATGCTGCTACCTGAAGTGTCATGTGGATGGTTTAACTCATTTCTTTCCCTCCAGGGGACCCTTTGCAATGTCAAACAATGTAAAGAAGCAAAGTAGGTCATGGTTAGATAGTAATTTAAAGCCAGCATGGATCTGTGCTGCTGCCCAGAAAGGCAGTTTCCTCCTTTACTCACCACCATGCTCACCACCTCCCTCATCCTGGCACCAGTGTTTGTTTGGCTGCCTGGTGGGCCAGAGGGAATTAATATTACTAACATGGCAAAATATAATCAATAAGCCTTTAAACTAGCCGCAGCAACAGAAAAAGAAAGGCCGTAGGCAGGCAAGGCCACGCTCTCTGCCTTGTCACATTTAACCCAGTGAGTTATTTGGGAGGACTCTGGAATCTACTGTTCCGTTTTCCCTCTTGTGAGACAGACTTGATCATGTGTGCTGAGGAACCTAAAGCTTTCTGTTTTTTTCCCAGTGAAACTAAATGTGTATCATTTGGTATTTTGCCTTTACTTTCCTCCTTTACAATTAGAAAGAAGTAATATTAGAGCATTAGAAGAAAACATTCTTGCTATTCTTCCCTACTTTGCTTGTGTTGGTCCTGCAGGGATTTCAAGAAATCACTTCCATCTCTGCTCAGCAGCAGTGGCACACCATATACCCAAAAATTTCAGTCTGTGTGTTCCATGGGTCCGAGGAAAAGAATCACAGAATTGCTAGGGTTAGAAGGGACCTCTGGAGGTCATCCGGTCCAACCTCCAAAGGGTGTCATATCGTCTGATAACTGTCGCTCACAGTGCCACATGATGTGCTTATTATTTGTCGAGGCACAAAAGTCCAGTTACGCTCCAGGGGCTCATTCCGCAGGTCCCATATATTACCATTTTAAAGGGAAGCCCTACCGGGATAGGGTGAAATATGGGAGGAGTGCGACGTGGATGCAGTAGAAGCCAAGTGAAGGGGAGAAGGAGGAGCGGCGGCAGCTTTGCATCATCAGGTTACATTCCTTGTTGTCCTTGCCTCAGGTTACATCCCTTATTCGTGCCAAGGCATCGCCGCGTGGCTCCAGGCGGGATTCGTTCAACCACCGAAAGCTCAACGGGGGAGCCAGGCTAAGGGCACAGAATCAGAAAGGGCAGAAATCAGAGAGGGCACAAGAGACCACCCGCTTGAGCAACTGTGCCCCTGGAGAAGAGCAGGTAAAAAACGCTTTATTTTTGCTCAGTTTCGCCCTCGCTCACACGTTCCTCGCGGCCGGACCCGTGACGGGCAGGTAACGACCCCTCCCCGCCCGTTGCGGGGCGAGCGCTGGTGGCACCGGCGAGCCCGCGAGTCCCCGCGGGACCCGCCCGAGGCAGCGCGGCCGCTCCTTCACCGGCAGCGCGGGGACGACCGGCACTGCCCGCCCTGCACGGCTGCCGGGGCGGAGCGGAGACACCCCTGTGGCCCCGTCCTTGGCGGGCACTGAGCCCGGCGACCGCCGCCTCCCCCCGGCGCCGCCGCGCCCGCCCCTTCCGCCGCAGAGCGCTCCCTGCCCGAGCCCCGCACGGTCCCGCAGCCCGCGCCGCTCCCGCGCCCCGGCCGACCGGTGGGTAACGGGGGGCCCCCGCAACACCATGGGGGCGCTGGAGTGTCGCCCAGCCTGCCCGCCCTGCCCTCCCTCCCTCCTCCCCCGGCGGTTCAGTTCCGCCGGGAGCAGGAGCGGGAGCCCGTGCCCCTGTCGACTCTCCGTGCGTGGCGGCCGGGCAAGGGGGAACGGGGGTGGCCGGAGCCGGGCGGTGGATCCCGGGGGGTTGGGGATGGCGGGGGTCGGGCTGTGGCTCTCGGGGATTTAGGGGTGGCCGGGGTCAGCTCGTGGATCCCGGGGGTTTGGGGGTGGCCGGGTTCGGGTTGTGGATGCCGGGGGTTTGGGGTTGGGATGGTCACGGTCAGGCTGCGGACCCCTTGCGTTCGCGGGGTTGGGGATGGCCGGGGTCGGGCTGTGGCTCCCGGGGGTTCTGGGGGTAGGATGGCCGGGGTCAGGCTGTGGATCGCAGGGGTTCTGGGGGTAGGATGGCCGGGGTCAGGCTGTGGATTGCAGGGGTTCGGGGGGTTGGGGATGGCCGGGGTCAGGCTGTGGATTGCAGGGGTTCGGGGGGTTGGGGATGGCCGGGGTCGGGCTGTGTCTCCTTGCTCAGAGCCCCCCCGTGTGCCACCCCGGCCCCTCGCTGCCCTGCGGCCCGGGAAGGTCGGAAGCTCGTGTTTTGAGCCCGGGCAGCCTCGGGGGCGCACGGAGACGGGTCGGGGCGATCCCAGCAGGATCGCAGCTCCCCGGCTGGCCCGTGTGTCGCGGCCGGCCCCGCTGGGGGTTGCGGGGCCGTTGCTGCCCGGGGCCGGTAACGGCGCTGGAATTGGAGCCGCCGCGGGCGCTCTCGGGGCCCCGCGGGGCCGGTCGGTTGTGCGCCCTCCAGCCCCTCGCTGGGCACCGGGCACGGACGGGATCCGGAGCTCCGCGGCCGGGGAGGGATGTGCGGGTGGGCGTGTGGCTTGGAAGGAGCCCTGCGAGCCAAGGGCATCGTGCCCGAGGGCCACCTTGTGTGAAAAGCGCCGTCAGCAGCCGCTCGCAGCACCTCGGTCGGCGGGTTTAGGTGACGCCCGCGGTTCGGAACATGGCTTTCAGCACCCTCTGGCTTGCTTTGAACCAGCTGTTCCCGTTATCCTTTCAGAACACCATGGCCACACTCATGGACAAGCTGATGACCCCCATTGCCTCGGGAGCCGCGGGCCCCAACAACAAGGTCTCAATTGTGGGCACTGGACAGGTCGGGATGGCCGCTGCCATCAGCATCCTTGGAAAGGTACGGCTCAAGGACAGCGTGCCGCTCAAGCTCCCCCTGCCGCAGTGTTCTGTGCTGCCTTAGCCAATGGGGGGGAATTCGGTAGGTTAGTGCAGGAATGAATCACGTGCAGTTCGGGTAAGCAGTCAGTGACCTGCAAGGCTGACTTCCCCATTCAGCTTCTCCTTGTTCTCTCACCTTTCCGTCCGTGCTTGGCAATAAATCTCTCATTAGGCAGAGTTATTTTGCAGGCTGCTGGGAAAATATAGTGAGCGAATGGCTCTTAAGCCCCTGCCAAACTTTTCATTCTCTTCTTAATTTTCTTATTCTTCCACAGCAAAGCTGGAGTTTGCTCAGTGAGGGAGCTCTTGTGGGAAAAGAATGCGGACAGAGGAGAAATGGATGTGAAATATGGGGTAGCAATCAGAACAATAAGTGTTTGCTTTTTACTGTTTTAAGGCATGTGTGCCATAATAGCTGAAAATAGTGCTATCCCCTAAAGCAGACTTCTTGATTTCTCTTAGGTTTTTTTTTTGCTTGGTTACATGATTATTTTTTCCAGAGAGGTTTTAGCTAGTTTTTCAAAAACTAAAAATAGAGGTCTGGATTTAGAGGTTATTCTGACTTTTCCTATTCCTGGTTTATAGGATTTTTTTTTATTTTTTTTTCCCAAATCTTATGTTACTCTCTTTGAGCAAAGCAAAGGCTCATTATGCAAGAAGGATCTCTTGTTTTTAGAGAATATTGTGAATGAGTTAAATTTGATTCCTATTGTGCTGTTTTTGGAAAGATGATGGGAGCTGCAGATTTTTGTTTTAACAAAGGCATAAACAGATATGCCCTGCCCACTTGCAGAGGCTGCCTTAAATCAGGTAGCTCACAGTCAGATGAAAAATCTTGCATGTACTACTAAACCAGCTGTATTTTATGTGGGTGATTCTTCAACATATTACCCCAAGAATGTTTGCTTAATATACTGGGGTTTTAAATATATATAAAAAAAAATTAAGGGCTTTTGCTTGCTGATATTCATGAGCCCTGCGACCGAGGAAAAACTGACATTAAGAAAAGGCCACAGTGGAACTTGAGTATTAATGTGAAAGTAGCAAATAGTTTTTAAAAAAACTTATATAAAGGAGAAATTTAAGGGGAAAACAGTGATAGTTCATTGTGGTTATCTATATTTTCTTAAGCAAATGTTTGCCTCTCATGGGCTGAACTAGTTTGTTTTTGAAGTCCTGTAACCTTGTACAGTGAGGGAGCCAGGTGATGTTACGACAAACTGCACTACAATTCATCTGTGTTTAATACACTGCTTTAGGCAGGATTAAATTTTTGCTTTCAGATATCTAAGCACAAAGTTTTACTATTAATGAGTTGTATGCACCAAACCCAGAGTAAAAACCGGTTTTAAATTTTTCAAGCATGGATGATGACATGGATTTTATGTCAACCAGACTTCTGCTCTTATTCTCTTACAAATATAAGCTGCAGTATAAAATATTTTTATAACAAAACCATCTGGTTCTTGTAACTGAATTAGTCATTTAGGTTGGAAAATACCTCTGAGATCATTAAGACCAACCATTAACCCAGCACTACCAAGTCCACCATATCCCCTAGTGCCACATCTACAGCTCTTTTAAACACTTCCAGGGGTGTGACCCAACCACCTGCATGTTCCAGTGCCTGACCACCCTTTCAGTGAGAAATTTTTTCCTCGTATCCAATCTAAACCTCCCCTGGCACAGCTTGAGGCTCTTTGCTCTTGTCCTGTCCCTTGTTCCCTGGGAGCAGAGCCTGACCCCCATGTGGCTACATCCTCCTGTCAGGGAGTTGTTGGAAGTGGTAAGGTCCCTCCTGAGCCTCCTTTTCTCCAGGCTGAGCCCCCTCAGCTCCCTCAGCTGCTCCTCATAGGACTTGTGCTCCAGACCCTTCCCCAGCTCCATTCCCTTCTCTGGACGCCCTCCAGCCCCTCAATGTCCTTGTAGTGAGGGGCCCAGAACTGGACACAGGATTTGAGGTGTGGCCTCACCAGTGCCCAGCACAGGGAAACAATTCAGGCTAGGATGTCCTTGGCCTTCTTGCCCACCTGGGCACACACTGGTTCACGTTCAGCCTCTGCCAACCAATTTGTGGCTTTACTTGTGCACAGTTTGGCTCTAATACTAATTTCAGTTTACTGGTGTAGTATTTAGTATTTAAATTTGCATGACACCAAAACTTCCATGCTGGTTATTTTTAGCTCCCTCTCTGTTAGAGACAAGTCACTGATGTTGCCACACTGATTTAGAAATGGGAGCATGTCCACAGTCACAAATCAGCTGCTTTAAATGAGAGTATTTTGAGCTGCATTTGGTGATTGTGTAGGCTTCATTCCTGTGTGTGCTGATAATGAGCTGAGTTCTTCTCTAGACAAGTGATGCAAATTCATGAAATTAGTCATTGCAGGTATTCCAGCTACTCTTCTCCTTAAGTGAGAACCTGCTCTTGGAACCTGCAGAGTCTGAGGAATATTGGTTGCAAGTTCTAGACTGCAAGTCCCATCGGACTGTGTGTATAAATCTATCCATAATTGCACATGTGCACACATTATTTTTTCAAACTCTGATTGCACTAACTCCTTAGTTTAACACCAATGACTTCAGATAAGCATACTTTTTCATAGTGTTTAAACAACTGAGACATTCATTTTACCCTGCAGGCTATTTTGGGAACAGAGCAAGTACAGATACAGATTCTTATGATTTTTCTTCAACAGTTTTATCAAATCAGCTGCTAAGGGAAGCAATGCAGAAAAGCCATAAACTAACACTATTTCAGAGTATGAAATGAAAACTTTAAATATGTCTGCAGTTAAATATATTTTTCCACAGGAAAAACAGTATTTTAGTTGCTAAAAATGGCTTAACTGCTCTCAAATAGAGTGTAGATATCTAGGAAAACAGAGAAGTAGTAATTTTTTGAATTTCAATATAATTTACTGTCTGATCAGCCTTTAAGGATAATGGAATTTACAAGGATAATAAAAATTTCTGTCAAAAAGAAAAGCCAAAGGAAGGCTTTGCATTAGAGCAAAACACCTTTTCACTCCCATACTTCATTGTTTTCCTGTTCTGAGACTGTGTGAGGTTATCTCCCGACTTAACCTGGCTGGACAACAAGCATACATGGCTAAATCTATTCTGCAAAGTAAATATAACATAGTAGCTCTAGTAGAGAAAAACAACTAAAGAATCTGTTTTCTCTTAATTTTTAGGGCTGAGGAAAATATCTGTTCCCGTTGTATAGTTTTGTGTAATTAATTGATTGAAGGCATGCTAAAAGAGAATACTTGTTTGATAATTATGTGGAGTGTTCTTTTAGGCATTTCAATATTTACAACAGGCCTATTTGCTGGATAGATTTAGAAGTTTTGTTACAACTCTGAAAGATATAACTTTTTCCCAAATATAATTACTAAATCATGAAGTGCTTTTCTAGCAAAGGGTTGGCTGTGAACTCAAACTCCCCACAAATAATATCTTTTTTGGAAAGTCTGAATGAGTTTTATGAACCTGTGCTGTAGCAGCCTCTGACTTTGTTCCTGTGAGATACATCAGAACACCAAGATAGTGCTGTCCCACAGGTTTAACTTTGGAGAAGAGATGCTTTCAGATTGCTGTGGCGTGTCACTTTGAAACAAAATACACCTCAGCTCAGGGTTAACTTTAAAATGCAAGTGAACTGCTTCACTGACTCCAAATTTTGTTGTTTTCAGGGTCTTTGTGATGAACTTGCTCTGGTTGATGTTGTGGAAGACAGACTAAAAGGAGAAATGATGGACCTACAGCATGGGAGCTTGTTCCTTCACACTCACAAGATTGTGGCAGACAAAGGTGAACCTCAGTTTTTTATTTAATACTGACATTCTATGACTTTGCTTGATAGTGGAGAATTAGTTGTGTAATCCTAAAGAATTCAAAGGATTTGGCATCAAAAAAGGGTATGAATTGGGGTGAGAGTTTGGATGAACACCATAGCAGTGGGAGTAGTTTTTAATCTGGGCTTTCTCTTACATCTCTAATGGCCATTTTACAGTTTGGAGCTTGTTTAGTAAAACTGATTTTAATGAAGCTATAGTACCTCTTTGTAGAAGAAATAATGTTATTTGGAAAGTGGAAGTGAGATTCGGGTGGTTGAAGGTGCTCTCCAGACCCATATATGTTGATACCTAAACTGGACAATGTTAAAGAGCTGGTACTGGATTTAATATTGGTGTTTCCTGGTTTGGGGTTTGAATGGAATGCACAGTGGAGAAGCTGCCTGTAACACTGTATGAACACAGTGCTGTTGAAATGAGTGACAAGTGTATTTAACACATTCTGTATCTTCCCCCCCGTGCTCTGGTGTAGATTACAAGGTGACAGCCAACTCCAAGATCGTGATCCTGACTGCGGGCGTTCGTCAGCAAGAGGGGGAGAGTCGCCTCAACCTGGTCCAGAGGAATGTGAATGTCTTCAAATTCATCGTTCCTCAGGTTGTGAAGCACAGCCCCAACTGCATCATCATCGTGGTTTCCAATCCAGGCAAGGCAGTCTTTTCTGAAACCCTTAAAACTTCGGTTTGATAAAACACAACATTCATTCTCTGACAGTCTTTTCAAATACAAATTGAAGGTTAATAGCTTTTTGTGGACATCTGCCAGGTAGTGGCCAACAGCAGAATACAAACAAATATCCTGTACATTCTGATGCTCT